AAAATAGCAAATGTGTTACCTTTTTTTGTTTGCTCTCATGTTGTTAATGCTAAACTGTTATTTTAGTATCCCCCACCACTGCCAGATTTTCGCAAGGAATTGTGTACGCAATTTTTGTTAAACGTTTTCCATAGAAATATGATTGTAAGATAGGTATTGATGTTGGATTTTCATTATAATCGGTTCTTTGAATATTCGACAACAAGACCTTCCCACAGAAGAGCGGAAGGTATAATGTCTTCCAATGGAATAATAGGAGTTCTTTTTATAGTAGAGCAGAGGTCTTCTTCTAGGACAGCTGAAGATCTTCTTATTAGACGAGCGTAAGGTCTACTTATTAGAAGAGCTAAAGGTTTTCCTATTAGAAGAGCTAAAGGTCTTCTCATTAGAAGAGCTCTAGGTCTTCTTATTAGACGAGCTGACGGTCTTCTTATTAGAAGAGCTTAAGGTCTTCTTATTAGAAGAGCTTAAGGTCTTCTTATTAGAAAAGCTTAAGGTCTTCTTATTAGAAGAGCTAAAGGTCTTCTTATTAGAAGAGCTTAAGGTCTTCGATTTCGCATCATGCACTTATAATTGCATGTTTTGATTTAAGTATGAATGCCGTGGATGATAGAATTGAATATCATGATTTTAAAAACATTGATTGGAATGGTATCTTCGAATGTTTATCAGATTTTGATCATACGCATTATTATCAGGCCAATAATTCTGATGATAAGTGCCAGATTATTAACAATTTATTTAAAAACCTTTACTCCAATGTTCCAGTTGTAAAGAGATATCTTACATTACAGCCTGATAATTGGATTAATGCCAAAAATGTTGCAAATGCTAAGTCTTTAAGGGATTGTTCTTACAGGGCATATCTAGAAAACAGATGTCAGTTAAGGTGGAGAGTTTATTGCAAATACCGAAATAGGGCAAAGAGAGTTATGCGCACTGAACGATACAATTATTACACAAAGCAATTTCGTAACCTTGATCCCAAGAGTTTCTGGAGGATACTTAGAAGACATGGTTGTACTGGGGATAATGATGCTGTGTATGGTTGTGATGCTGAATCTGTTAATGATTTCTTTGCTTCTAATGTGACATCGGATGGACATGATAGTGTTGACATTGAACCTTTTCTTGATGCTGGCAATTCATTTTCTTTCTCATGTGTTACAATCTATGATATTGATGTTGCTATTGGCAAAGTTAAATCAAAGTCGGTTGGTGTAGATAGAATATCTATTGAATTTTTGAAACTAATTTGGCCTCATACCTCTCATTTGATTTTGGACTTAATAAATACAATTTTAACTACCTCAAATTTTCCACTGTTATGGAAAATGGCTCGAGTTGTACCAATTCCTAAATCTACTATAGTCCGGGGTCCTGAGGACTTACGACCAATCTCAATACTCCCGACATTGTCGAAAATTTGTGAACATATATTAAAAGACCAAATTCTATCGCACACTAATTCCGAAATTTTTGATGGGCAGCATGCATTTCGACGTGGCCGGAGCACAACTTCTCTGCTGTTACACCTAACAGAATCTATCAGGAGTGATCTTAATAATAAGCAAATGTGCTCACTTATTTCATTGGATATATCCAAGGCTTTTAATTCGATTTCCTATAGTACGCTTATATATAAACTTAAAAATCAATTCAATTTTTCCTTTTCAGCCTGCAAAATGATAATGTCGTATGTTAGCGGTAGATCACAATATGTTGAGATGGGTGGTGTTAGATCTGGGAGTGCTTTTCTTTCTTCAGGGGTACCTCAAGGTTCGGTCTTGGGCCCCTTGCTGTTTTTTCTATACATAAATGATTTGCCAGAATATATTAATCTTGATGTATGCTCATTGTTTATATTTGCTGATGACGTTATGCTTTTATTCAAATCTGAAACAAATTCCATTGATTATTTAAAAGAGGCAATGAATTCTTGTTTGGGGAATTTACTGAGATGGACCAACGCTAACTGTTTACAAATAAACCCACTGAAAACAAAAATTATTATGTTTGGTTCTCATGTTCAAGATCTTGGGATATGTATAGGTAATTCAAGTATTGACGTTGTTGAGAAACACAAGTGTTTAGGTGTTATCTTGGATAACAAGTTAAATTTTGGATCCCATATTGACAGTATACACAGTAAAATTTATTCAGTGTTACGTAAATTGTATTCCACCAGTATTTATCTACCTTTGCATGTTAGGACGAAAATTGCCTGTTCACTGATGATGCCACATGTGTTGTATGTATTGGAAGTTATATCTGGAACTTCGGAATATAATTTTCATAAGTTACAGCAAATTATAAATATGATTGCTAGATTTGTTTATAATGTAAGATTTCGTGAGCATATATCAGAGTTTGTTGTTAACTTTTTAGGCACCTCGTTTCGCAAATTTGTCGATTTTCGTAATACTTTTTATTTTTATAGAATTATTAAAACTGGTATACCTAGGTCGTTACGTGCGTTGTTTACATTTTCACATTCTAGCAGAAACCCACAGATTAATATACCTTTAATTCATAGCTCCTTATATGAGAAATCGTATGTTGTTCGTGTTGCGAGGTTTTGGAACTACCTACCTATTGTATTGCGAATTTTTTCGCATTCGAATAATGCGTTTCGTTTAAAACTTAAACTGCATTTAAATCTTTCAGAGAATTAGTTCATTCGTGTTTTATGATCTTCGTACTACGTACGTTGCTAATGGACATTTGTATGTTTTTTTAAATAATATTACTGTTAAAGTAAATTAGGCTGGGGAGCCAATGTTGTAAATAAAAATGAATTTTAAACTATCAGGTTTTTAATAATACTATTAATACAGTAAATAGGCCCAGGAGGCTTTTGTATTATGAATAAAGAAATGAAATAATAATAATAAAATAAAGGTCTTCTTATTAGAAGAGCTAAAGGTCTTCTTCGTAGAAGAGCTAAAGGTCTTCTTCGTAGAAGAGCTAAAGGTCTTCTTATTAGAAGAGCTTAAGGTCTTCTTATTAGAAGAGCTAAAGGTCTTCTTATTAGAAGAGCTGAAGGTCTTCTTATTAGAAGAGCTGAAGGTCTTCTTATTAGAAGAGCTTAAAGTCTTCTAATTAGAAGAGCTTAAGGTCTTCTCATTAGAAGAGCTTAAGGCCTTCTCATTAGAAGAGCTTAAGGTCTTCTTATTAGAAGAGCTTAAGGTCTTCTTATTAGAAGAGCTTAAGGTCTTCTTATTAGAAGAGCTTAAGGTCTTCTTATCAGAAGAGCTCAAGATTTTCTTATTAGAAGAGCTTAAGGTCTTCTTATTAGAAGAGCTGAAAGTCTGCTTATTAATAGAATTTAAGATTTCTTATTAGAAGAGCTAAAGTTCCTATTATTTGATGAGCTGAATGTCTTCTTTTTGGAAGAGCTTAAGGTCTTCTTATTAGAAGAGCTGAAGGTCTTCTTGTTAGAAAAGCTAAAGGCCTTCTTATTAGAAATGCTAAAGGTCTTGTTATGAGAAGAGCTTAAGGTCTTCTTATTAAAAGCGCTTAAGGTCTCCTTATTAGACGAGCTGACGGTCTTCTTATTAGAAAAGCTGAAAGTATGATTTTAGAAGAACTGAAGGTCATATTATTAGAAGAGCTATAGGTCTTATTATTAAAAGAGCTGAAGGTTGAAGAAAGCAAGTCTCTTCTAAAAGACCTGAAAGTCATTTTCTAGTAGTTTTTCATGAAGACTATGCCAGACGGCATTCTTTAGAATATTCTTTTAAATAAACCAACCAGCTTTATTCTAATCGATCAGAAGCTCTTTTATAAAAAAAAAATCTCCTGGTCTTCTGTTCGACTATAAAAAACAACCTCCTGATCGAATCGAAGTAGATCATTTTTACTCATAATTTTCTGTCTTCTCTCTGCACCATACCTCCACCCACCTCATATACAATTACAAAGTTCGGCTGCTGTTTTCAAATATATGTTGGGAAGTCCGAATCAAATCAGCAAAAAATGTAGAGGCTATAAAATTCGGAAATGGTCGATCATTTTATACCCTTTCAACCCCCAGAATAGCTTTCTGGTAGGATAATGGTAGACACAAATTTACAATATGGGGGGTACAAAATATATTTGTAGGCATAGGTTCCATACACAGGTCCAACCCAATTTAAGGTTTTTTTTAAGCGAAGTGACTATAATTTGGCCGTAGTGAATTGTTAGTGAGCCACTCGCAGAAAATGTTCGATATAGGTCATTATAGTCGCAACTTATCCCCTAAAGAGACTAATCTGGCATTTCGAGTTCTTGCAGAAAATTTTGGTTTAGATCCAAAAAATGGTACCGACCCGTTTTCAGTACTTTTGAGTCATTATTCATGTCCGTCTTTCAGCCCGCCGGTCTGTTCAAATCCATCCATAAAGACCAATATTCCAAATAGAACTCTGAAATTTTACGCAGACATTGCCGGTACTTTTAGGATGTTTGGTATTGCAAATGGGACATATCGGGAAAAATTATAAAATATTGAGGCCATAGTTCTGTTAGCATTGACAGCGTGAAGTGATGATGTATGTATTCGAACTAATATGTTCAATGTAAATTCAATATGTATTCAATTTAAAGCATATGTACTAAGGTGCGTATGATGACCGACAATACGTATACGACAAACGAAAATTGTAATTTTCAAGTTTAGATACATTTGAAATATTCTTAAATAAGGTTTGCCAATGGAAATCAGATTTTGTAAGTCTGATATATACTGGAGTGTACAAAATTGACTACAAATATCAGGATAAATAGTTACAACATGTTCCGTCACAGACTTAAATATATGTCAGTCGAAAAAAATCATAAAAAAGGATCCATATATTCTTGTGCATTTTTTTTAATATTAATATTTGTTAATTAAAATACGCTGTTTTTAAAATTAAATATATAGAATAAAATTATATTTTCATAATGTAAATATTAAATAAAACTCTCAGAAATAATCATAATAAAAATTAGTGCTCTCATCTCTATCCATATTCTCATCCCAACTCCCTATAAGACTCACATGCCTTCTGCAACTTCGAATATTCCGGACTATAATATTGCTCCAAAATTTTTAGAGCATCATTCGAACCATCTTTCCTATATTTCTCCTGGATATGTTTTCTTCTTTCTTTTGCTTCCCTTTCTTGCATTTCACGTAAAGCTTCCAATTGATCACTTGCACTTCTCACATCATCTCCTTCATATAATCTCAAAAGGTTCCTGACACCAATGGATGATTTCTTTTCAGCTTTATTCCCCGGGGAATCTTTTCTATTTTCATCAGATTTTTCGTTCGAATTCTCATAGCTGCTGCCCTGTGATATTTTATTTTTACTACTTTGTCGTTTCACAATTTTCTTATCATTCTCACGTTTTTTACGATACTTGTTCCGCTCATCTTGGGTCTTTAAAATTTGTTCATAGAATTTTTGTAAATCTGGTCTCAAAGGCAGGCAGCTACGCGAGTAAACCTGTTGATCGATAAGATCATTTAGTGTATTGAGAGCTTGCTTCATCAGTTGTTCACTTTGTTGCAATTGTTGTTCGCTATCCTGTCGATAACGAAGAAGATAAAAATTATTTCGATGATGAGAAATTTTTTAAAATGAGTAGCATACCTTATTGCGAATAGTATAAAAGTTCGGCATTTCTGGTCTCTGAGCAAGCTTATTACGCTGCAAACTTGGCCATAGAATTTTCAATTTTGGATGTTCTCGCACCGTTCGAAATATTTTTTGCACAATATTTGCTGATAATTTACCGGATGTTATATCAGAGGAGTCATCGTCAGAGGGTCTATAAGGTGAAGGGATAGAGGAGTAATGTTGTAGGTTAAAATAGACAAATAAGGGGGTATTTTATTTAAAAAAGACTGGATTTATGGAGCTTGAGAATGATTATCGTCAAAACGTTTACGCCACATGGTTGACCCGGTATTAATACAATATAGAATCTAAGACAACCTTCATTATAGTAAAGTACTATGATACGTATGAGTACCGACACAACGTATACGTCCCTATATGCTGATAAATTTTACTATATCTCTGATCGATCCATTTAAAATTCTTACAACATACCTTTCATGTTGTTCTTCATTTGCTAAATTGTTCCGCCAATTTCCTCTTGAACTATCAATTTTCTTCGGCGTATGTCTTCTGTAACGATCATCCTCACCAAACCCGGAATTTAGTAGTATGGTACCATTTCCCATATAACTCTTATTTTTTGCATTTCCATGAACCTGGGCATTGATATTAATATTCCATTTAACATCCGGATTTTCAATAGCCGAATTATTTAAATCTGGGTCCTGAGTAATAGCTGACCACTCATAATCGTCAGTATTATTTTCAGGAATCTCATAATCTGCACCATCTTCCGTTGTGTTCTCAAAATCCAACCAATTTCTGGTTGTTACTTCCACACATGCTGTTGTATTTTCCATTTCACTTTCGGTAAAGTAATCCTCAGGTTCTTCTAAATCTTCTGTGGTATTCTCCTCATAAGTATCCGTATATAAATCGGTAACATTTTCTGAATTTGGATTTTCCGTAGGGAACTCATCAATTTCCACTGTTGTAAAATCCATATCAATTTCTTCCATATCATTGGAATTTGGGGTACTTTCAGTTGTATTTTTGGGTAGGGATTTTAAAAACTCATCTAATCCTGCATAGGTGGTACAATTGAGTAGATCATTGTGTAAGTGTAGTTCCAATTTATCGGGATCATCAGTTGTTTTTAAATCCGTTATATTATCTTTGGTCAGGGCATCCAACCAGGCTCTCAGATTCGGATTGTGATCATATAAATGTGTAGGCCAGACATTATCCTTTAAATTGACATCATGTGGATTCATAACAGATGTCAATGGATTATTAACAAGGGTTTCCCTGCTCTGACTAAACGGTTTCCGAGTACCTGGTCTTGGTCTCGAGTTTTTCCTCTGGTGGCCATGATGAAGTCTTATTCTTCGCAGAGAATCTTTGCGATTTAAATTCTCATATGTTTCTTTGGTACTCATTCCTTCGTCGGGTTTCATTAAAGAATTATATTTTCGATTTCCCTTCAAATCTTTATAGTAAGGTTCATGGCTTTTGTATTTTCGATTTCCACCGAAATCTTTAGAGTTACCTTCCCCTTTGATTTTCCTGGGAGCTTTTTCGGTTTTATTATTTATTGAACGATAGCCTGGTGACCGTCTGACATATTTATTATATTGAGGCGATTCCTTCGTCTTGAAACGCCTGTTAGGATTATTTTTGGTATTGGAAATTCTCGCTAGACCGTTCTGTGCTTCTTCTAAATCTTCATAATTGATATTTTCGAAGTTTTGATCTGGATTTTCTTTATAGTAAAAACCATCACGTTTGGTGATATGATGTTTTTGCTGATAGTTTTCTGTAAGGTATAAAAAAGTTAAAGTATTGAAAAAAATATTGATAAATTATACTCAAAAAGTAAAAATGTTCAAATAGCGGAGATGAAAATTTGTAAACCACAAAAATTTGGGACCATGGATCTTAGGAATCCACATTTCTTGAAAAACTGCTCAGCATTTATCGGGCTAAGTTTCTTGGTTATATATTCATTCTATTTAAAGTTTTGAAATAGTTTTCAGTGCGTATTTGGTTTAAAACCTGCGAACTACGATGCGTATGATTACCGACAGAACGTATACGACGTAGTATCCATTTAATAAAAAGACATAATTTTGAAGTTTGGATCTTCTTTTGGATCAAATCGGGTACTATTTTTACAAGGAATCTTTTGTAGGGGCCAAATCGATGTAGAGGTCAAATCGATTACCTCCTGTTGGAATTATTATCATGTACAACGAATTTTAGATTTAGGTAACAGTTGGTTCAATAGTTCTCTCGAATTGTACAGCATTTTAGAAAGGTAAATATAACCCGTAATTAACTGGCCAATGTTCGATATATCATAACATAAATATTTATAATGGAACTTGTAATTTTTATAGAAGACCAAATAGTCTTAAAGATAAAGCTAACTTTTTTTAAAGACCAGAAGATTTTCTTATAGAATACCATTGGATCTTCTTATAGAACATTCGTATAAAAGCTCTTCTTATAGTATACCAGAAAAGAGGATCTAATTATTACAAACATCCACACCGAAAGGAATTCGTTCTATGATACCAGAATGTATATAGAACGCCATGTGGACATTCGGAACAACTAAAACAGGACAGGACTAGAGTTGGGTAGTTCCGGAACGAACTATTTCATTGGAACTATTCTGCTAAAGGAACGATAAGAACTAGATTTAGTTCTTTAGTTCCCATAGTTCCTTCTTGTGATCTCGTTCTTTTGTGAGATCAGCTCATTTCACTAATTTCGTCTTTCACCACACTGTGGTACAGGGTATTATGTCTATATTGGTAACAGGCAAAGAGAAAGGAGATTGATACATGGTTCCTTTTGAGAGCTTGTATAGAATCGCTTTCTAAGTCGATTTTTGCATGTCCGTCCGTCAGTCTGTCCATGTTAAATTGTAAACAACGTACAGGTCGCAATTATGATTCGAATTTGATGAAATTTGGCAAAGCCCATTTGTTTTACCCAAGGACGAACCCTATTGAAATTGGGAAAAATCGGTTCAGATTTAGATATAGCTCCCATATATCTTCGTCCGATTTTATGTAAATGGTGCATCAAATTCCCTGTATATATTTCGATTGGCACGAAATTTGGCATAGCGTACTGAACTGAGTCTAGAATGATATGTGCTAAGTTTCGCAAAAATCGCTTCAGATTTAGATATAGCGCTCATATATAGGTTCGTCCGATTTAATGTAAATGGTACACCAAAGTCCCTATATATCTTTCGATTTGCACGAAATTTAACATAGCGGTCTGAACGGAGTATAGAATGATATATGCTATGATTTGTGAAAATCGCTTCAGATTTACATATAGCTCCCATATATTTTCGACCGATTTAAAGTAAATGGTGCTTCAAGGTCCCTATATATCTTTCGATTTGCACGAAATTTGGCATAGCGTACTAAATTGGGTCTAGAATGACGTGTGCTAAGTTTCGTGAAAATCGGTTCAAATTTAGATATAGCTCCCATATATATTTTCGTCCGATTTAAAGTAAATGGTGCAACAAAGTTCCAATATATCTTTCGATTGGCACGAAATTCGGCATAGCGTACTGAACTGAGTCTAGAATGATATGTGCTAAGTTACGTGAAAATCGGTTCAGATTTAGATATAGTTCCCATATATATTTTCCTCCGATTTTATGTAAATGGTGCACCCAAGTCCCTATATATCTTTCGATTTGCACGAAATTTGGCATAGCGTACTTAATAAAGTCTAGGATGATTTGTGCTAAGTTTCGAGAAAATCGATTCAGATTTAGATATAGTTCCCATATTTTAATGTTCCTTCGAAAAGGCGACGTCTGTTAGGAGACAATATTCAATTCAGGGAAAAACTTCGCGTATGTAGGACCTTTGTGTAATAAAAAAAGGAAGTAATTAAAATTTTCATTCAGTGGGAAATAATAAAAAAAAATAATTATGCGGCTGTTTGTATATTAAGTAGGGGATCCTGTGTCGTATGATTGTTGTCAGAACGTATACGACCTGGATATGAAAAAATAATGGGTAGTGTAAAAATTTCCATAATATTAATAAAAATTAAATTACCCGCTTTGCTTATGCTAATTTGTCTTTTTTCAGAATAATTATAGTTTCGTCAATTACCTTCATTCCTTAGAGTTGACAGTTCCTGCTCTTCCGACTCATCAATTGATCTCTTTCTACGAATGTGATTCCATTTCTCTACCACATTGCCAGGATTCCAATCCACAGCATCTTCCTCAATTTTAAAGTCATTTAAATTGTCATCATTCACACCCTCTTCCTGACAATTCATCCCATTCTTCAAAATACCCTCCTCTTGGGACTTCAATAAATTATCAATCCGTAACTCTCTAAGATTCTCTCCTAACGAATAACTCGGCAATGAGGGACCATAACCTTTGGCCATTAACCGATTACTTGTTTTCAATTTAATTTCATCCATTGCATTAAAATCCGAAGAACGTTTTTCAGCACTCCAGGGCCAGCGCCAAAAACTATTCGAATTGTTGTTATTTGTTTCAGCCGATTCTTGTTCAATTTTCGATAATTTATAGTTGGCTTCGTCGGAGAGATTATTTTTCTTTAATTGTAATTCATTGTTATGGGATGAATGGAGGTTACTGTAGGTCACATCTTTTAAGGGAACCTCTGGCGAAAGTAGTTCTGATAAGGATTCCTCTTTTAAGGGAAGCTCTTGTAAAGGAACCTCCTCCAGTGGATAATCTTCAGAGAGTTCATTAGAAAGTTTAGTGTCCGATGGTTTTGGAAAGTTTTCTTTTGGCGGATTTTTGAAATTATTTGAAATACTGTTGTCAATGGCTTTCGAGGTATGTTTCGCAGTTTGTAATTCATTATAGCAGGCATTCTGATATAATGGTTCCATATCTTTACAATGTTCTAGATCTTGGATATCATAATTATAATCCTCATAATCGCTCGATTCATACACATTTTCATCTTGAGTTTCTCTATCATTCTTGTAATTTGCGATTTCAGGGCCAGGGGACGCATGCAGTTGATCTCCTAATTTTTGGGGATTGCTTTTAATATTTTCTTGTTTCCTCTCCTTTGAATTGACCTTTTGTTTTTCTTTACTCTTAATATTAGATCGAGTAAAGTGATGAGGATATTTATCAGATAATTTGTCATTATTATGGTATCTAAGGTCCAATTCCTTGCCATATGTAGACTTCCCTCCTTTGCCTTTATTCGACACATTATTATGATTGGTATTATGATCAGGGATCTTCTTTGTGTTAATAGTTGCTCTTTCTCTGGGCTTTATTTTATGTTGAGTACCAGACTTATTATCCTTCTGCTTTGATACGTTAGCCTTAGGTGATCCCTTGGGTCTTGCGGATTTCTTTTCTGTATTTTCTTCCAAATATTTTCCATTTTCTGTAGATCTCGAGAAATTCCTCGACACACCCTTGTCATGCCCTTTAGCTGCGTTTACATCTCGAATTTCCTGAGCAGCTTTCTTTTCATTTTCCAAATTTATATGGAAATTTCTCAGTAATTCCTCAATGTTTTTACGACGCTTTCGAAGTAGGGCATTCCTAGTGACATCACCAGAAAAATCAAAATCAATTTCGGCTTTCTTTTGCCTTTTGGAGCATTCACAATCTCGACATTGACAATTTGAGTTTGAATTCGACAGATCCAATAATTCGGATCCTGTTGGGATTGTTATAGCTGATAATAATACGGTTACAGTTAGCAAAACCCAATACATCGATATTAAAATATATTTAAAAAAAATATTTATAGGAATATATTTGTAAATTTGTTTGTCAGTAACACAAAAGTCAAGTTCAAATCAACTAGACAAAAAATTGGAAAAGAATAAAGGAACAGTGGGGCAAAATATCGACGCGACCACACTTTATGACTATTTTTTTGTTTCTATTAGATATGAGTCCTTTTATCGGAAAGGCTTTATATCTACAGAAAAGTCGAAGAAATTCCCCTATCTCTAGAAGAACGTGGAGAAGGTAATCTGTAAATAGAAGACCTGGAGAAGCTCTACAAAGCCTTCTGTTCATAAAAAGACATGAAAACGGACACCTGTCTGTAGAAGGGCTAGCAAAGGCCTCCCTTCTATAGTTTAATATATCTTCGTATATCTATAGAAAAACTGGAGAAGACAATGTAAACAAATCCCAATGATTTTGGGTATTTCAATAGTCCAACTCAGGATGAGGGACATACAAATTTCGGGTTTACCACATTTAACGACATTTGTACTTCTTTCTATTCGATAGAAGGACTCGGAAAGGCATTCAGTAGAAGCAGCACCGCCAAACTCTTCTGTCTATAGAAACTATGGAAAAGGTCATTGGTCTGTAGAAGATCTAGAAAAGGTCAGCATTCTATAATTTCAGGCGCCCTTAGAACCCTTCGCAAAATATTCTTTAAAAGAGCCTTGAAAAATATTCTTCAAAAAATCCACACATTAAAAGAGCTTCGAAATAGGAACGTGAAAATCCTGAAGAAAAAAATCGTGTCTGATTTATCCATAGGAAGTCTGGAGAAAATAGCCTTTCTATAGGAAATTTGTTGAGGATCTTCTGGATATATAAGGCAGGAGAAGGGGACAGGAGAATATATTCAACCCTTTGAAGGTCATATAGAGAACAATTTTTGAGTTTTATAAAAAGACTGGAGTTATATTCTATTTGTGGAAATCCTGGAGAAGATACTGGAGCCTCCCTTAACCATGAAAGCCAGAAGAAAATATGCTATCTATAGGAAATTTGTTGTGGATATTCTGGATATATAAGGCAGGAGAAGGTCATCTCAAAACAAACAAATACAGGGACTGTAGAAGGTATTCAACCCATTTAAGGGCTTATTTTGAAGAATATTCGATTTTTTTAGAAGACCAGGAGTTATACTGTGTCCATGAAAGTCCGAGATAAAATATTCGTGCCAGATTTTTCCATATGAAGTATGGGGAAAATAATTTATTTATAGGAAATCTGTTGAGGGTCTTCTGACTATAAAAGACAGAAAAAGGTCTGATTTCTATAGAAGACCTAGAAAAGGCATACCGTCTATAGGAGTTCTACATAAGATTTTTGTATGTAGAATGTCAAAGAGATGACAGTCGATAGAATGTCGGTCTATATAAGGCTTGGAGAAGGTTCTGTGTCTTAAAAAGGCCTTCTGCCTAAAAAAGATCATGATAAAATCTCCGGAGATGGTAGGAGGCCTGAAGATGGCCTCCTCTCTATAGAAGAGATGGATAAGGAGTTGTGTCTATAAAAGGCCGGTAGAATATGTTGTGACTAGAGAGGACTTGACGACGTTGCTATATCAGTAAAATGAGTATTATTCTGTAAATAAGGTCTTTTATAGACAGAACACCTATGAAGACCTGTTAAACGCCTAGAAAGCGTCTTCTATCCTTAAGTGGACCCCTCATTCTCGTTCTATACGAATATTTTTTTATACATAGAAAGCCTGAAGGCAATTGTCTACATATAAAAAAATCTCTTGAGTGTCTTCTGACTATGTAACGTTGGGGAAAGGTATTCTATCCATATAAGGTCTTATGTGTATTAGAAATTGTATCCGTAGATCCTGTGAAAGATTTTTAATATATTGAAGGGTTATCTAAAGTCCAGAAATGGTCGTCAGGTCATAGTGGGTTTGGAAGTCTGTAACACACCACACCTTCTGCATATAAAAGTCTCGCCATAAAAAAACCTGGAGAAGGTCTTCTATTTATAGGAGGTCCTCTACTTATACAAGATCTAGAGAATGTAACCTATCTATAAAATATCTGTATAAATTCTTATATCAAAAAGAGATCGGAAGAAGATTTTTAATCCTGAAAACTTTTATGAAGTCTTTTTGTTTATAAAAGGCCTGGAGATGGTCTGTCGGTTAAAGGCCTGGAAAAATTATAATTTTTAAATACGATATTGTTTTTTGTAAAGATCGTTTAATATTTAGGGGATGAAATGGACCAAAAACTTATTTTTTGTCGGGTTTTCTAATCGCTCCAGAGGCCGCAATTATGGCCCAACGAATAAGCATGCCTGTTTTGATAAAGATCGGTCAATATGTAGCGGGTCAAATGGACCCTGACTTTTGTTTGTTTGAAAAATGATAGATTTGTATTCGATAGCGTATATATTTACCCCATAGACCCGAGAAGTTGATACTATATCCAAGAGGAGTGGTTGGCCTTTAAATTAATACCAATTATATTGTCGTATGTACTCGGATGTGGGAGCTACACTTAAATATTTACAGGTGCTGACGTATTCAGATATTATTTAATAACCCATTACTACACTTCCATGAGGATCCAGGTATGGTCAAGTACAGCCCCGCCCGACTATACTGCTCCGCTCACTAGTTTTTTTATGTAAATTCACTTTCTTATCCTTGAAGTCTACAAATACTTATATGCAACGATAGAAGTCTTCAAAATAATGTACCCTTATTTACCAGCCGGCTGAAAATCGAAATTTGAAATTGAGAATGGTTGTGGTACCCTTTAAACACCTCGAAAATGTTCACCAAATAGTGGAGGGAATTACTCTCAAAACCGTTTTATTTCAAAAAAGAGACAGTTAACTCCTTTCATTTGCAATTCTAACATATTCCCTCGCGTCTCATTTTCAAATCGAACCAAAATTGAATTGAAAACTTTTCTCTTACATATAAGAAGTCTACTCCTTAACTCCATAAGTTAATAATAATGAAATCAACCGAAATCACAGACAATAAATATGAATAAGCTGAAAACTCTTGTTTGCGAATAGAACTCTAAGGAGCAGAATAACAAAAGTTTCACACAAAGAGTAACTCTTTTAACATTATTTTTCAAAAACACTACACACACAAAATTAACTTTCTGTTGTTTCCAAACTACCTTGAGTATGAGAATGGATGTACGTGTGAACATGCATGCATGTCGAACTCAACAACAATACTCAACAGGTGTTTGTTATGAAGTGTTAAATGAAATTATTTCTTCTTCTTACGTTTTTGTGTGTGCAACAACTCCCGAACAACAAAAAAATATAAACTTTTTCCTATAAACAAAAGGCAACACTTTTGCACGCATTGCCAGGTACTCACACACACACCTGCAACAACGCATGCACACGAAGCGAACTAAAACAAAAGGTGTGAGGTGTGTACTCCAACTACCAACCACCACCACCACTACATGCATATAGAAATTATCCAAAAAGTTTTGTTTTGAAAATTTCATAAACGATGGTAAATGCATTTTCATATATCAATGGCAGGCAGCAGGACCACCACCATTCATATGGGTGTTTGTAAAATGTATCGTTGTATTTGTTTGGTGTCATTGAAAAGTAGAATTTTCCTTGACGGTGTCATCCAACCATCCTATCTAAGAGTAAGGATATGTGTATGTCTCGGTATTGTATTATCGTATATTGATAACAGAAAAGTTTGACGTTGTATCCGTTGTGAGATTTCAATAACAATCTCACAACACACACACACACACACTTACCCACACATACAAAATTCTATAATGTAATCATATCATTTCGAGTATTTGTGGTTTGGTTGGAGCCAAGAACCATTGTTTTTCTCACTTAATGGCGTGTTGGCCATGATGTCTGATTCCTTCCAATGTTATAGCGGTGTTTTTTGTTGTAAGGTATATATGTATATATGTGTGTGTGCTTTCTTTTGAATTTGCATAACAAACACCGATAAATGAGCAAATGAATACAAATCAGTTGCAAAGTAATGGATATGTGTGGAGATTGGTCGACTTTTTATTTTTTAGAAAAACTATAGAGGTCTAATATTTCTATAGGAGCTATTGAAAATCTTCGTATATCTGTAGAAAACAGGAGAGGACATCGAAGTCAAGGAGAAAGTATTATATCCATAGGGAGTGCGGATGCACTGTAAAAAGGCAGGGGCTGTAAAAAGGCAGGGGAAGGCATTCCACCCATAGAAGAAGAAGTTCTTATATATACAAGAACATGTCTGCTACTTGCAGAATGGCTGGATTTGTATTGTATCCATGGATGTCGAGGAGAAGATATTCAAGCCTGTTCTTTATTCATAGGAAGTCAGGAGAAAATAGCATATCTATTGGAAATCTGTGGATGGCCTTCTGGCTATATAAGATATTTCAGATCTTATATCTGATTTTTTTTATTTTTATAGAACGGAGCCTTGGAAAGTATATCCTAACCCTAGATAATCAGAAGAAAGTGGTCCATATGTAAGAAACCTGTTCTTGTCTTCTAGCTGTATAAAGTTAGGGGAAGGTATCCATTCGTAGAAGGTTTTCCATGTACAGATTTTTTTTGTGCTTGTACTTTATTATATCCGAGGAATCCCCTGAGAATATTTTTGAGCCTATAAATTGTTTTTAAAATATTGAAGACATATCCCATGTCCAAAGAAGATCGTCAATTCATAGTGGGTTTGGAAGTCTATAACACGCCACACATTCTGCCCATAACAGTGTCGCCATAAAAAAGCCTGAAGAAGTTTATCTATTTATTGGAGGTCCTCTATTTATACAAGATCTAGAGAATGTATGCTATTTCTAAAATAGCTGGATAAGTTTTTATATCGAAAAGAGATCTGAAGAAGTTCGTAAATCTATGAAAACGATTATGAAGTCTTTTCGTCTATAAATAGTATGTACAAAGTCAGAAAGATCCTCCATTTATATCAGACATAGAGATAATATTACATTCATAGAAGTTCATATAT